TGTGGTCCAGAAATCGTAAAAAAAAAATCTTAAATTTGGGAACTCCCATGACTTTGACCATTTCACAGAATATTCTTTGGCATAACTAGAAAAGATGCTCAGTTGGATTTTTCAAACATCATTACCATTTTTAAGATAATTGGGTTCAAACACTAGTTTTTTTTTAATGAACCAACAAAAATAGTGGACCACAGAGCAAAATCACCGAATAATATTTGGGTTTTCGATGATCGCGAGTAATTGCTACAAGCATTGCATTTTGGTAGGTACGAGTATTGCACATACGGTGTTGGTATGCATTTACCATCAAAAAGTGAAATTGATGTCCAAGACCCTGCAAGATAAACAATTACCCCGTTTCAACCGGTGTGAATTCATATAACGAATATTGTTTTTCAAAATGCACAACCTCAATGAATAGCGCCATATTTTGGTAATCAAATAATTGCACTAGACTTGTGCTAAACTGCTTTTCAAAATGTATCTTTTTAATTATTCATTCTGGACGTTTGGTGTCTTCAACAAAGTTGTTTATTAGTCAAAAATATGAAACTCGTCAAAGTCAAAATTGTAGCAGCCTCCCTAATATTCAAGGTAATATTTTATCACACCAATCATAGCATAGTTTTAAGTTGAAAATTTCATGAATATCGATTTTCGTTTTCAGAAGAAAAAAAGCATATAAAACTGTATTATTTTCCCTAGAAATATTTCATGTTACGGCAACGTAGAATAAAAAAAAAAGACTAATGAATATTATCGCTTCTTCTAAGTGAATTGGGCATCAATGTATTTTATAAGTAAGAGTAAAATTGTTCATTGGAATCATATGTTACTTTTCTCCAGACCATTTTAAACTTTTCACAATACGAACAATTTCCACAGTTAATGGTCAAAGTAATGATCCCTCAAAAATTTATAATTGATAATTGTTTCGAAAATGTGCATCATTTAAAAAAAAATGCGACACAATTCTTCAGTTTTCGGTATGTTATGCAACAAAGTCTAAACTTTCAAGGAAAACAAAATCTAAAATGCCACTGTGTCCTTGGTTCAGTTACTTTTAATTAACGTAGGCATATGGCAGTCCCGTAACTTTTATTAATTGCGCAGTTTAGAAGCAAAAACTTAAAACTTCTGATTTAAAAAAAATGCAAACATACGTTTCTGAATTTTTGATATGTTTTGTAGAAAAACCTGTGCTTTCAAGAAAAATATAAAAACTATAGTGATTTTTATTGAGACACCATGAAAATAATTAAAAAGGCATTTAAAAACCCTTTCATTTGCAAAACTAACATCTGAAATCCATGGTTAAAAAGTTAGGAATTTTCAATAAACGGTATATAGGAAAAAAAAAAATATGAAGAAGTTTCACTGAGATCCCAGCAAAAGTGACATTTGATTGCTGAGTTTCCAATAATGCTTAGCTGAATCTTAGCTGGGATCTCAGTAAAACTTTTTTTGCTGAGATTTGCACAGTCGAGCTCGGTAGAAAAAACTAAGTGTGTAGAACCACACTACCGTTCAAACTGGCGACATCGCTCTGATGAGACAACAAAACCTACCCCCAAGCTCCTCCCCATTTTCTATTCTTCGAAAATGTACCCCTCTAACCTCGGATAAGCCGCGAGCATTCGGCCAAACTCCTTCTAGACATAGCATTAAGTGAATTTTGTTACAAACAATGAACAATGAATTATCGGCTCCGTAAAGCTTACGCAATTGTGCCTTGCAAATAGACGAACTGGAAAAAAAATTAAAACATGTAATGTACAATAAAGCGCACGTAGAACTAAAATTTCGTTACTCGACAAAAAGTACGTTTGATTGAGCTGAATTTCGCAAGTTGACAAGCATATTGAATGACTCCACAGCACCCAATTGTAATCTTAATTGTACTCTTAAGTGAGTAAAGAACAGACACCATATAGTGCAGTATGCGCCGTTAAAAATGCATAAATTTTCATACACAATATATGAAGATTTTTGTAATTTTTACGGCACATAATGTACATCCTATAATATAAGATTAAAACTCCTCAGAACCCAATTTGAGCTTTTTGTGACATTTGGAGCCTCCTTTCACCAAGTTATAAAAATATATGAACGAAAAACCATGCTGAAAGCGTGATCTGCATCTTAAGCTCAGTCAACAAATTTTTTAGATGACAACTTTCTCATTTTTTGAGGATTTTTCAATTTAAAGGTGTCACACGTAAACAATGATTTTGACCGTCTATTTCTTACGAATATCAATAACGCATCAGCGGCGCCGGTGGTGTAGTGGTAAGCGTGATTGCCTCTCACCCCATCAGGCCTGGGTTCAATCCCAGTCGGCACCACCAGGATGTTCTGAGGCATAACATCTCTGATCACGCCTTCCTTTGGAAGGGAAATAAAGCCGTTGGTCCCCGGTTCATGAATTGATGGATCGATAGGTAGGGTCCAGGTGTGGGAGCTGCCTCTCTGGCGTCGGTAGCATTGGTGATCAGCACGGAAAACAAGATCGACGGAAAACAAATAAAGGAAAAAAAAAATCAATAACGCATCCACACAAACCAACAACACCATTTTATAGAGCAGGCCTTCCCTGTCTCATTTTGTGTGGCCCTCAACGAGCTTAGAAAAAGTTTTCGCATCCGGCCCGTGGGTTGTTCTATTCTCGTTCAGCTGTGTCAGATAAAAACTTGGAATCATTTTTCAGATCAATCAATATGCAACGAGTATTGGAGAGCATCCAACAATTTCAAGTTTCTCGTTAAATCACTAAGCTGCTCATCTTAAAACGTTAACAAGTGGATAAATAGATTAACTTTGAAACATAGCTCACGATCGTTTCTGTGTTTTCTTTATTTAGATAAGCAATTTTGTATGCTTGTTATATGAGACAAAAGGTTCTGATTTTGTGAAAATGTGGAAACAACTTTAAAAAACTGCTTTTTTCGCATTTCATGCTTATTGCTTATTGCATATTAGCTAATTACGTGCTCTCGACTTAAGGTTCTAAATGCACTTCGACAGTTATTAATTGAGAGCTTTCGATGTCAATACCAAACCATGAATTTGTACAATGATAATACAATTTCCAACCCAAAAGATTCCCTCGACCAAACCAGAAATTGAACCTGTCGCCAACAATCAATATGAAACTATCGATTTGAAATTGGCACACTACTTGACTAGCCTATTGGTCCCAAGCAAATCGATTAACGTATCCCATTCTAGTCAAAATTCTAGTACTACACTATGTTTGTTTTGATTTGCTATGAAAGTTTGACAGATAAAATGAGGGGTTAGTGGATTCTCCAGAGTTTCGAGGGGTGAATCGATTAGCATGGGACCGAAGATAGTACCAGAGCTGAGCCAAAAAGTTGAGCTCGTTTCTTCGGGACCTACTAGTCTTATAGTTACCTCTTTGGTATTACCGTGCCTTTGCTGACTAGGCTATGAGGTCCCTAAAACGTGAACTCCGTCGATGATAAATTTAAATTTTAAAATGTTTCAGTTCTGTAAGCTCTTTTGTTTTAGCATGCTAAGATCAATATACACATTTTTATGAAATATATGGATTTACTCAAACAATTATTAAAATATATCAAGTACGAACTGTGATCACCTTAAGATCAAATTAGATATTACGATTGGAAATACGTTAAAAACGTACCGCGTAAAAACCGTGAAAATATCGGCTCCAGCTTAAAATTAAATTTTTTGGCTCACCAACTGATATGGATTCTAACATAAGAAATCGATACTCAAGGTGAAGCTTACCGTCAAGATGTTAATTTTTTAGGCATGTTTTGATTATTATTAAAATATAGGAAAAATGTATCTTGTCACTCTAAGAAAATCAGTGTTTTCCTTTAGGTGTATTTTAATAATTTTAAAAAATTGGATAAAAAAAAACATAATCAGAAGGTCTTGAATCACAGGAACAAAAATTTCTTGGATTTATGGTATAATTTTTCACTATTTTAATAAAAATAAAAACGAAATTTTTCGCTGCCGACGGTAAGCTTTACGTTCAAGTCAATGTTCAAATTTGGCGAATTGTCTCATTGCACATGTTCATCTAGAATTGATCACTAAATTAATCTAATTTACTGTTTTGAGTAACAATCAATGCACTAATGTTTGTGCCAATATGAAATACTTTTAAACTCACTGATAAATTAATAGACTCTTGTTGTTAAAAACGCAAATGTGTATGGCTCAAATCACCCCCTGCATCATCATCTCATCTTAAAAATATGGTGATGTATTAATTGAATCCAAATTAAATTTGGTAACAAAGTGAGGATGTCAAATAACGAAATCCTATTCTGACATGTCGTCCTGTACGGAAAATGGAAATAGCAATAAAAAATACAATAATGCTATTCCGGACTATGGTTATCACTTCTTAATATCTGAGTCTAACCTATTCTTTGAACTGAAACAAACAAATGCTGCATGTAATTAATCTTCTTGGTGCCTCGAATAGTTCGGTTAAGTGTGAATTTCAACCCGTCAGTCATGAATAATCCCCAAACCGCATTCGTACAACAGCAGCACGAGTCTACGAATGATTGATTGATTGACTAAGGGTGTCAGCGGTCCGGTAGCTTCCGAAGTACATACAACTCAACGCAAGAGAACAAATTCGTCGTCAACTTTTGGAGGGATTAATTCTAATTTGTGAACGCGTGACAATTAATAGAACATAAATAATTTATTGTTCTGATTTTATTATCCGCGAACATCGAACGACGAAAATCACAGCCCACATCAAACAGTCTGAGTCTAACTTCAGCGTGGTGGAAATTTAATTTACCAAATCAAAATCCTGCTCCAGTTGAAGTGCCGTCGCGATATATGAAACGTCTATATCCCAAACAACGTGCATAATCTACGCCATGATTGGCCTCTGAATCGCTCATGTCATTTCAATTTAATATGCTTCCCCCTCGTGCACATAAATATGTATATGTATGTGAATGAATGAACGATATAATTACCTAGAATCTAATTAACTATTGCTCGGCTGGCAGCGCAAACATCCAACATGAAAGAGTAGCTAAGCTTCGTAGATTCAACTATGCGTATAGGTATATGAATATTCCAGTATTATACGGGTATGATGCGTTTAAATTAGCAGGTAACACTCGGTGTCCTTTTTAATCGATAAACTTGATTTCTTGCATTTCTCACTGGCGGATCCTCTTTGAGCTCTACACTCTTTTCACTTCACTGATGGGTGCAACGGATTATGTAACAAAGTGAACGTGTAATCCGTGGTCTGGTGTTGATCCAATTAATATTCATTCGAACTTTGTCTCCGACACTGATAATCCTTTATTCTCTTGCACTTATTTCCATTATTTCACTAACCGCCTGTGACCCAGTTGTATGAAACTGATTCAAATGGTTGGTTACTCTTCAGAGGATTATTCACCACTTTTTGCAGTATAATCTTGTTTCTTTGCACTTTGTAAAGATGTGTAACGTTTTGAAATTGCTTTCTTCGATCACTTCACTTGATGCGCTTGCATTACTCTTATTGATTATGCTAATTCTTTACATTCTTTATTCAATCCACCTGCTTCCAACTAGGCCTCTCTCAAGGACATTTTATATTTATCTGTATTCTCTGTTGTTCTTCCCAAACTCGAAGCACTTTATTTATGAATCATCATCACCTCTATGCAACACACCGCATATAAAAATCATCATCTATTCAGCATCCAACAATGCACACATACAAAGCCTCCGTGCTCGGTATTATCTTGCAGCACCTCGGTCTACGAGTTATCCTTTTTCGTTTGCTGCAGTGTATGGTCCTTCTTCTTTGATGCACCAATCATTCATCTTCCTTTTTTTCCCCACTACATATCAATTCTGGTATATCACACTGCAATCCACACCAAATGCTGTCAACAAACACTCACCTCAAACCCGTGCCCCCACGTTTCACGGTCACCGCTATAGAATATGGAATACTGGGAAACTGTCAAAGTGGTGCGAAAAATTACTCAAATATAGCAGCACAATCAATCACTGAATCGTTTCGTCCTGGCCGACGGATCTTCGTGAGACTAGTAGTTTGTAGCCCTATCGAAATACCAGCTGCGTCGCACCTGGCAGGACACAAGTAGAAATCTCGTGAATGTTTTCCTTTCTCAGCAAAATACTCCTGTTGTTTGGGGATTGTCCCATTCGCCTTGAGGAACGTGGTCACGGAAAACTCGACCCGGATGACGCACTACCGCCGAATGCAAACTCTAATCTGACAGAACCTAGAAATTCCTGGTGCCCCTACACGGCACTTTGGCAGTGAAAAGCTCCTGTTTTTTCCCACGATCAATGACATGCGCCCCATCGCGAGTTCCCCTCGTTCTTATTCTCTTCTTACTCTGAAACAAACAAGCTCCCGTTTTCTGAGTGCGGCTGCGCTTTACAGTGAGCCTTTAGAATCCTTTCTCCGAGCGAACAGAACTCACTGTCCACTCTGATGAGGATGCTGATGTTGTGTTGTGGTAGCTCAATATTTTTGTTTTCCATCGCATTTGCTTCTCTCGTTTCTTGATGATAAACAAATGATACATCATTAGAGTTGATTTATCTCGAGCTAGTTTTTGCAATGGTATCATTTTTCGCAGCCTGGCAGCAGTCCAGTTTGGCACGCGCGATCGCTGGGATGTGTCTGAATTATGAATGCAATATGTTCAGGATCAATTATCGCTTTCAGCGCTTCTACTTCTGCGGAAGACAAATGTCCCAACAATATTGGAAGCTTTTAGAGAGCGAAAGCACACGCCAATGTGCAGAGATTCTCTTATATAATGCAACACACTTGATGCTACCAGTGGAGCTTCTCCTCTAGGACTTCCCCTTCAGCAACGGTCGATGTAAGTGGTCTTGCTTCCTCCAACCGATCAGCATCCAGGACCCTTCACACCCGTCTGCAAGTTGATACGTACAAATGGGTGCTGGTCTCTTTTTTATTTTCCTATCTCAAAAAAAGTCTCCAAAACTCTCACTCTCTCCCACAGTTGCGACCCTGAATGAACGTCTCCAATTCTCCACAAAACAGTTTACTCTCTGTTGTATCTATCGGAGCATCTTTTCCATAAAAATTAAACATCCACCCGCTTCCAATTCCAAACACAGCTGAAAAAAACACCCAAGCAAGCAAGCAAGAAGACCTAACCTTACAAACAACTTAATCATTGCGATGCCTTCCCACGTCCCACCAGCCAACCAACCACAGCATCGCCATCATGCATACGGTATATAGGTAGGTATATGTAGGTATACGGACATGGCCCAGCAACCGCTACCGCCTGTCTAAGCAGGCAAGATGAACACCAATTTTGCTTCCAGCTGCCACCTTCCAATCACGACGAAGACGACGGTGGCCAAGAAGACCGACAACCTAAATCTACTATTTTCTTGGTATGAGCATCAACAGTGCGCTTTCGTTCGGTTTCTGCTAAATTGCGCTTGGCCGCTTCCAGCGACTTTTTTCGATCACCATTTTTTTTTTTACTTTTGTTTTGTTTTTTTTTCGTACCAATGTACAGTATAGGACAATAGTACAGTATATTATTTTAGCGTTCACATTACAGCCTATACAATTTCCTGTATAGTACCACCAACAATCAATACGAAACTAACGATTTTAAATTGGCTCACCACTTTAGTAGCCTATTGGTCCCAAGCAAACGATTAACGTACCCTATTCTAGTCGAAATTCTAGTACTACGCAATGTTTGTTTTGATTCGCTATGAAAGTTTGACAGATAAAATGAGGGGTTATTGGTTTTTCCTATGTTTCGAGGGGTGAATCGATTAGCTTGGGACCGAAGAGAGTACCAGAGCTGAGCCAAAAAGTTGAGCACGTTATTTCGGGACCTTCTAGTCTTAGAGTTACCTCTATGGTACCACTGTCACAATTCAAAGTCGAAAATTTAATTTCGTTTATTTTTTTATTTTTAAAGTTAAGGCATAAAGAATTGGGTTTTTGTTTGGTTTTGACAATCCACCGCTAGAGATATATGTATTAGGATTTTTCAAACAAGATCTAATAAAGCCAGATTTTTTGGTTTTCGTATGATTCCAACCTATTATTCATTTGCTTTACGAAATTTTAAAAATTGCTTCATTTTCACCAAACCTAGGACTTGGATTCGTAAAACTACATATACTGCACGACTTCATCGATGACCGCTGTCGCTCTGTTGTTCCGCGCATGCCTACAAGCTTATATGTACCCCAGTAGGTATGCGCGGATCACATAGCCATAAATAAAAAGTAATAACTTTTTGCACAGAAGTCGAATCGATTTGCGATCTTCAACAAAGTTGTTCTGCATAGTTTTGTCCACACAGCAAAAAATTCTGAATTATAATTGTGATGTAAACATTCATTCACGTAAACTTGTATTTTATTTCACGCAAACGAGCAACTTGTAAGCAATGTTGTTTACAAATATAGGCTTTTGCATACAATATTTGCAACATTTCATGAAATGTCTCAGAACTTTACACGATTTATAATGTAAACTTAGATGAGATGTGACGCTCCTTTTATGTGCATCATATTTAATAGAAATTTACACTACTTTTTCGAGCTGTGCATCTAAGCTCCAGTTGGCCAAAATTGAGCGATTTTTGAATTGTTGACAAGTAATTGAACAGTTTTGGACCGTTTTCCATACAAATTGTAAGGGGATCGCAATACAAATCGAAAGAGATGTAGGGAGCGGGGGTATTAAGTCGAAGGACCCTAATATACAGGAACATATTTACAATCACATCGTATATAATGCAAACATATGGCTTATATCTAAAAAAGTGGAGGCCATATACGTGTAAATTCAAAATTACTTTGTAATGTATTAAATTTGACATACGGCTTAAGGAGTGTTCAATTTAAACACGAACACATTCCTTTAGTTCAAACTTTTTCATTTGACTACTTATACAATTCGAAAATATCATGTAAATTTCTGTTCAATACGATGCACATAATTGGAGCATCACATATCATATAAGTTTACATTATAAGTCGTGTAATGTTCTGCGACATTTCATGAAATGATGCAATTATTGCATACAAATGCCCATCTTTGTAAACAACATTGCTTACAATTTGCTTGTTTGCGTGAAATGAAATACAAGTTTACGTGAATGTATCTTTAGATCACAATTAAAATTCCAAATTTTTCGCAGTGAGCTTAATGCTTTCTTCGGCAAGTTTTAAGCTCTACTTATTATAACAGGCAATTATTCTGTATGTGTAAATCTTGTGGGAGCATAATGTCAGACATTCGGCATATTACACAGAAAAAATTCTGAATTTTAATTGTGATGTATACATTTATCCACTTAAACTTATATTTCATTTAACGCAACCGTACAGATAAAAATTCTGAATTTTATTAGTGATGTAAACATTCATTCACGTAAACTTGTATTTCATTTCACGCAACCGAGCAACTTGCAAACAATGTTGTTTACAACAATTGGCTTTTGTATACAATATTTGCTACATTGCATGGAATGTCTCAGAACTTTACATGATATATAATGTAAACTTATATGATATGTGACGCTCCATTTATGTGCATCATACTGAACAGAAATTTACACTACTTTTTCGAACTGTGCGAGCAACTTGTAAACAATGTTGTTTACAAAGATGGGCTTTTGTATACAATATTTGCTGCATTGCATGAAATCTCTCAGAACTTTACATGATTTATAATGTAAACTTATATAATATGTGACGCTCAATTTATGATGATGCACAGAAATTTACACTACTTTTTCGAACTGTGTAAGAACATAAAGGCTTGATATGATGCTGGTCGGGAGAAACTGCTGAGTACTCATACGGAGTTGCTGGTGAAATTGAAACAGGAGATTGTGGAGGACTTGAAAATTGAAATTCGGTTCATTTACACGAAGTTGACCAATACTGCTTCCATCACTCCAGTTTCCTCCAGGCGGTCTGGTCTTATGCCAAGAACCATAGGAAGCCGGCGGTTATTCCCAAGAAAGGACAATAATGTACCAAATCTAATGCGTGCTACTGGTGAATCTGTATCTCCAAGCCTAGGCCACTTCACTGTGCCTGTCCCGGTGGAAAAGTTTTGGATTTACCTATCTCGGATTTCTCATGATGTTACTCCTGAGCAAATTGGTGAGCTGGCCAAAAATCGTTTGTCAACCGACGATGTTTAAGTTATCCGTCTGGTTTCAAAGAACATAGACGTCAGCACCATGTCTTTCATTTCTTTCAAAGTCGGTGTCTCAGCAGATTTGAAGTCGAAAGCACTTTCGTCCTCTGCATGGCCCAAAGGAATGCTATTTCGTAAATTCGTGGACAACCGCAGAGTCGAAATTTTTTGGAAGCCTCAAGGTTTGTTACAAATGAACACACCGCAAACAACTCCAAAGTCCGCCAATTCCAGTCATCAATCATCTATGACGGAGTGATATTGTCGGTTCAGGAACATGAACCTCAACACCGTATTTTTATCAACCAATTACAGGGACGCTCACTTGCCACTAGCATTTTGGAAGCCCCTGATCCCCTCATCACAGTCGAGCCTCTCCCGCCATCGACCTGCAGTCGTCCCGGTCCTGTTTTTGAGCCCGGAAACGGGGTCTTCCAAAATCCAACCGCAGGCAAGTATGATCGCTTTCTGAATAATTCCGTCCCTGAAACGATTATCACTTCTAGTCGAACTTCAACAATGAACTCCTTCGTGATTGACCCAAATTGGACACCTGGACACACGCCTGCCATATGTGTTATGGAAGCCTTTAATTCATCCATCACAGTCGAGTTATTCCTGCCAGCGACCTCCGGGATGGCTGTCCTGTGTTTGGATTTGATGAAGGGATCTTCCAAAACCCTATCTCAGGCAAGTACTACGTTATTTCGAACAATACACTTCCTGAAATGTATTATGCTTACAGCCGATCATTTCCGATAAAAGTACAACCTGTTTTATTCAACTCGACACTCTGACGCACACTTGCCTTTAGCCTTTGGGAAGCCCCTGATCCTATCATCGCAGTCGAGTCTATGCTGCCAGCGTTCAACAGTCGTCCCAGCCCTGCGTTTGAATTAGGAGAGGGGGTCTTCCAAACTCCAACCGTAGGCAAGTACAATCAGCAACCAACAACTGCTCTGTCTGAAAAATTCTTGGTTTCCATTGTGCCATTGTAGATGTCTGCTCCTCGACAATTGTGG